GACCACATTGTTTGGTTTGATAGTTTATTCATGTCTACTATCCAATGTGAATCTTGTACTTATATGATTACCTTGAATGTGATCTGGAACGCATTCCAACATCTCATTCATACTCTGGCCAGAGATTCTAAATCATATCATAGAGTATTCTCCCTCAAACAGTTTGAAGGTTAGAGATCCCTTGTTGCGCATTCACTTGCCTCCATGGCTAAGTGGCTTAACCCCAACGATGCCGTGGACACCCTGATAGAGTGACTTTGACATAATCAAAGATTAAGGACCTAACCACAAGACAACTGTGATGCCTCAGGTCAAAAGACTAATTTGCATTATCCCAACCATGAGTTCTCATATGACATGAATATGAGAACTCTTCGTTGATCGTGTTCAGTGAACTCATTCTCTATTGAGCACCTACGTACTTGTCTTGATGTCACACACACCAATGACTCGAGACTAGTCACTCTCCCTGAGAGAAGACATAGCACGTACTGATCTTAACGGACTGTCAATGCCCAATTGACAATCCTATGATCAGGAACGTTTAGGATGTGTCAACGAAAGAATGGTCTCATGAATCTAACTTCTTTAGATCGCATTCTTCCAATCACATATTCCTTGGACTTATCGTTTAAGCATATAACATTTATATTAGACGGCTCAAACAATAATCTTTGCCCTTTAAACTACATTAGTTTGAAATGTCCGTAAAGTATCATCATATGATTGGTTTTAGGGCACATTTCCAACACACTTCCCTGGGCGATGTGGGATGTCACAATCCACCCCCTTAGGGGCCCGACGTCCTCGTCGGCACATTTCCGGCCAGGGATAGGCTCTGATACTAATTTGTCACATCCCGGCCCGGGTGGGACCACTTCCCGGGCCCGCTCCACCACCGTAGCACGATATTGTCCGCTTTGGGCTTACCATTCCCTCACGGTTTTGTTTTTGGGAATTCACGAGCAACTTCCTAGTGGGTCACCCATCATGGGATTGCTCTAGCCCCCTTCTCGCTTAACTTCGAAGTTCCTACGGAACCCGAAGCCAGTGAGCTCCCAAAATGCCTCGTGCTAGGTAGGGATGGGAATATACATTTAAGGATCACTTCCTTGGGCGATGTGGGATGTCACACAACCTATTATTATTCTATATCTTTTAAGGTTCCTATCGGTCATTTTACAGATTGGCAAACTTGCAATTAAACATTTTATTAAAAGTGGATGGGGAGATAAGACACTAAGGTGAAGACAACATCACTATAGAGTTATGCAAGTTTCAAATTTCAGATCGGATTCATAGTACTAAATACATTCCAATTCCTATCCAATTTTTTTTTTTTTCGGATTTCAAAATTTCAGTTTTGGAATTAAATCAGCCGAAATATTTTGAAATATTTAGGCTCAAAATCGACAGGAATCGAATATTCCTAGCTATCCAAGTTGCACCCCTAGGCGGGACTATCCAACAAACGTCTCACCAACTTCTTTGCCCCTTTAAAACATTGCCATTGATCAATAAATAAATAAAAATCACACAGCTTATCATATATACCATGTAATACAAGAACGAAACCAATGAGGATCATCTTTCGTTAGCATTGATGATTTGATACATCTTTCATTTCTTATCTCTTTAAGTTAAGGGATTAATGATAACCACAAGTTTGCCAATAAAAGCGATGCACTTTACATGAACAAATAAATATGATTATATATACATATGATATGTATATATATAATTATACATATATGTATGTATGTATGTATGTGTGTATGTATATACTGAGTATAGAAATCATTGATTCATTAGAACCTAGCTGAGAGGAACTGCATTTGCTTGAGAAGAGGAGTTAGGGTTTCCATGAGTTCTTCACTTGGATGATTGTGAACTCCTTCATACGTTGTGACGACGATGCTTGTGTCGTTTGATAGCCTCTGGACCTGCTTCTTCACACTGCATGTGTTATGTGTGCATCGATAGTAACTCCTACACAAACACATACGCACGCATGAATATATATACATGTTAAATGTTAATTAAATAACAAACTGACACAATAGAAAGAATTAAACTAACTGAACCAAAATAATTAAACCAAACCTGGGACATAAGGTGTTCTTGACGGCTTTCTGTCCGTACTTTCTCCAGCGGAAGCCATCATCAAGAATATCATCCGTGCTTCGAGTATGGAATGCAACCCTAGGCCGGCTTGATCTTCTTGTATAATTCCTACTACTCGCACCGCCTTTCCTTCTATTCGAACCCCTTATTTCTTCCGCACGATCACCCGCTTGATCATGATTATTATGAGTAGTAAGTAGGTCACCTGCAGGTTGATCACCAGAGAGGAGGCTGATCCAATCAATGTCGGGTGGAATCTGGACTTGGTGATGATGAGGATATGGAGGAGGATGAGGGTTGTCGAATAGGTTGATCGAGTGAGATGATGATGAGGGTGTAAAGATGTTATTTTGGGGTGGGAATTGATATGTTGGTGAGGATGATGATGTTGCTGCAGCAGGAGATGGATAATACTGGTTTTCCATACATGAGAGAAAGAGAGGGAGAGAACTGAGAATGTTTGGTGATGGAACTTGGATACTTACATATAAGCTTTCAACCAACGTTGAAAGGTGGGGGAAGGTGAGAAGAGGTTGGCTGACCCACAGTACTACTACTGCGTATGAGAGAGAGAGAGAGAGAGAGAGAGAGAGAGAGAGAGAAATGAAAGTTGGACAGAGGAGGCTTAATTAGCTAGCTAGCTTAATAAGGGTTTGATCAATCTCTAATTTTACCCTGTGAGGGGTAATGTATGTGTAAAGCCAACTACATCTCAACTACTTCTGTTGAGCTGCCCTTAATGAATCTCATTCAAAGGAGAGAGAAGCTAGAGAGAGACGTGCCTTAATATACATATCGTTATCATCAATGCTTTTCATTGCATGCATATATTTTCACTTGCATGCTTCTCCTCTCCTCTCTCCTCTCTCTCTCTCTCTCTCTCTCTCTCTCTCTCTCTCTCTCTCACTCTCTCCCTCTCTCCCTCTCTCTCCCTTTCTCTGTGGATAGGCACATGCCCATGCATGTCAGTAACGCAGTGTGTGAGCCATGAAAAAAGTTGACGTTCTACCATAAAATTAATTGGGGGAATAGCCCAATTTATTTATAAGCCTATGTAAGGTCTCTCCTCCCATTAATATGAGATTCATTCTAAACATGTCTCCTCACATGCGGGATTCAATCTCATTTACCTATTTGCAAATTTTTTCTTTTTACCGTAGAAAAATAGTATAAACTGTTTGATGAACTTTTGCAATGCTCGTAAATCTCCAGTCCTTAAATATTTTTCGAGAGAATCCCCGTCTGGATCTATTCAAGTGCATGCATCTCCTCAATTTCCTGCGCTTAAACCATTGAAATTTTCTCGGGAAACAATTAGGTTCACCAAATACGTCTGACTTTGAACAGAATACCCAAAAGCTTGTACATGATAACTTAATTAAACTGGGTTTTGGATAACAGTGATGATTCAAGCCCAGCAATGCAGGTGCTCGAATGGGCTTCCCTGCAAAAACGGTTTAATCACAATGCTATACGTATTTTTCGTTTGTTTTGCTACTGGGTTTGGCTGGAAATATTGAGGAGACGGAGGGGTTTTGTCAAAATATGTTGAAGGATAGGTACTCACCCGGTGTCGAAGAGGCACGTTTGGACCTTGGCACTGATTGATGTGCTTATTAGATATTGCAGGCTAAGTAAGGCAGTAGGGTGCTTGTGAATTTGAAAGCACAATGCCTTTGTTCTGTCTGGAAAACAAACCGGATTCATTGGTTTATGAGGTTCTGTTTAACAACCATGATTGCTTGATTGTTTGACACTAGTCAAAATCTGATGAGATGAGTTAGTTTTTGTTAGTTGCAAATAGGAGTGAGTTAGTTGAAGAGTACTTGAGTAATTGTGATGTATTAGACTACCATATAAAATCTTGTAAGAGACTTTGAGATATATCATTGTGTAATAAAAGCTTTACATCTCTCTCTCTCTCTCTCTCTCTCTCTCTCTCTCTCTCAAAACCTCTCCTGCTAATCGAGTGTTCTTTGATTTCTGTTGTTCTTCATATTTTCCATATTGTTATCACTGTTACAGTGTTTATGCAAGAACCTTAGATTAGATGATGTGCTATATGTTTTAGGTATGATGGAACTGTTTCTTCACAAATTATAAGATTTCATGGGGTATTCACATACTTTAAATTGTTCCCTTTTTTTTGTTTTCTGGGTTTCTACACTTATTTTCCACTCATAAATTTTTTTTCAATTTTTCAATTATTTGAAGATATCTTTGAATGTATTTAACTGGGTTGGTTCGTTAATTGTCACTGCATGTTCAATCTACACAACGCTCCTCAACATCACCAAAGCAAAGATATTTAATTATTTGGCGGTCCTCCTGCTTTCTCTCAAAGAGGCCCCTTCAAGGTTCTAGATTTCTCTCTCAAATACGAAAGAATTTTCATCAAATTATGCACTTTGCTAATGAGCAATGAAAAAGCATTAAAGTCATGAATGAAGAATGAGCAATGCATACGTAAGAAGGAAGGAACAAGCGGCATGAGTACTACACTTTGGGGAAGTTTATGTTTTCACCGAATGGAATGATCGAGATGATCGAACCGTTCTTTCGAAGGCATGTGATTGCATTCCGACAAACATGTAGGAGAATCAAATCCATATTTTTTTTTTTTTTCTAACAAACGATATTATATACACTAAAGAAGAGAGAAGCAGATTTAACCTCACAAATAGCTAGCAATTATATAGGTTCAAATTCGCATTTGACGAAAATCCGACCTCAGAACTCTCACTTACAAATAAAAGAAATATCATCAAACCGTAGTACTAAATGACTTAGGCAGTAACCCATTACTTAAGAAGCGCTTTTACGAGAGTACTGCATTTGGCCAACCAAAGCTAAACTATCCATGCAAGCCTCCAATAGGATCGAAATAATCATCTAGTTGATTTCCTCAAAAATCGATCAATCGAATTGTCATACACGAAAAACAAAAATTCTTCTCAAAATCCATGCAAAAAAAGAGACTCAATTTCTCTACAGCCATTTTACAACAACCAACAATTAGTTGAAGGAAACGGGGAAAAAGCAGGAATAAAAACAAAAACCAAAAAAATAAAATTAAAAACAATTCACATATTTACAATGTCAAAAATAAACCCTGAAGACTCAAAAATCATAGCAGACACACTTTGGGATGCCCTGAAAAAAAGAGACACCCCTGTGATCTTACCCTCTAATACCTCTGTTACTCGGTCCACCAAACATACAAAGATCAATTCTCTTCGCGTTGCTGTCAGGAAGACGAAGCTCTATGAGTTAACAAATGTCGAAAACTTATACTGCCCATGTATGCCTTTCATAAAAAGCCAGCATCAAGATCGCCTTCAGGAATTACTAAAATATAACGAAGGCTTGTACGAAAATGGAAATCCCGATTCTGTACAGAGTATATTTCTCCGAAAGTTTCCCACGAGGTCTCTTGGCATTATAATGCACACTAACTGCAATCACACAGCATAAAATGTATTATACAAACAAATCTCAGCATAAAGTGTCGTGATCATGCCACAATAATGCACAAAATTCATTGAGGATAGGTGGCAGTACCTGGAGATATGGCTACAAACTTTTCCAGAGCTACTTGTGCTCTAAGTACCTTCTTTTCTGACGAGTCCCCGCCATAATCCTTCAGCTGAACGTCAACTCCATGTATTTTACAAAACAAAGGCGTCCCCCAACAATTCATTACATAAATGTACAGTATGGAGAGGATGATATGGGAGGTAGATATCGATCTGGCTCACCATTTTCTAATAATCTGAGAAAGACAACCACAAGGCACTGATTGCTGATATTGGGGCACTGTGTTATGTAGGAAAGACTTTTCAGCATTATCCAACATTTGAATGCATCTCCTGCCCTCTGTTTACTATTTTCCGATCAGATCCGCATAAATTTGTCTTCAACTCCATATCTTAGCCACTTTTTAGTACTTTCAGAAATCAGACTCCAAAGAATTGTGTGTATGCTTGGAAAATTAAGCATATCCCAGATATAGATTTTTAAAATATGCCAAATAGTGCTGTTCGAGGATTAGCATAAGCATCATAGTGATGGCATGAAGTTGAACTTCGAAGCATTGTTCTACAAGTCAAGGGCAACATCTACAGATCTGCATCACCAGATTACAACCCAGTTCCAAGATCGTTTGCCAGCTGAAGTATGCCACGCATCTGAAGATATGGATTTTCCAAGAGCTTTTCATTGTTGCTCTGCACAGAGTAAACATGGTAGTGAGATGTCACCATCCTGTCCCAAAGCTGGCTGCTATATTATGATAGTAACTGAGAGATGATGCAAGACTTCAAAGCAAAGACACAAGAATAATACTAGAAAGAAGGGCAACAAAGAAAACAATAAGTTCCAAAGGAATTGGAATGCAGCTCTTCTAACAGGGGATTGAAAACAAATTTACATCCTCAAAATCTTAGCAGTTAAAAACTAGCCAACAATATATCGTGACCTTTATGAAGAGAACTAAATGAGGTTATCAGAAATTTTGGAATGTAGCTCCCAAGCATGTTAATCAGCAATATAGACATAAATACAAGGACGAGTAGTTCGCTACAGATAATTCGATATACTTAGGATACGGCAAAGTTGGTTTCAGAATAAGGCTCAGTCCCTACAAAATATTATTTCACGTCTGTGGCTCTTCTGACAAGGAATAAATATCCAGTAGTTGAATGCTATATTAGTTCCTTATCAGGCTGCTGCCTAAAACTCTCATATTTTCCACCAATGTTATCTAAAACACAACTTTACAATGAGATATCACTCCTACAAAGAAAGCAATCCTCAATAACCTATACTCTAATGTTTCTTCCTAAAGATTTCTATATTTCAAGCACCTTACCAAAGTTGAGAAAATATGATAATATAAATGCAAAATATGACACATTATCTTTTCAGGAATCATATATGAGAATGTGCAACGGCATGCAAAAAAATAAAACAAGGCCCACCTGCTGAGCTCTAACAACAAGATTCTGAAGCATGTGCTGGTACTTTTCGGGTTTTTCTGTGATCATTCGCTGTAAAGCACAAATTAAAATTGTTAGCAGGACAAACTTCACCACATATTCAGTACACTGTAATTTGTTTGTGGGAAGAGGACAAAAAGCATTCTTGCCTTCAGAAGAAAAGCTGATGAGTAATATGCCACCCTCGAGTCTGTGTCATCCAAGAGTTCCCTGAATTTAATACAAAGTAATCAGATATCATATATATGCACACACAACAAAAAACAGTAAGTTAATTAAGCTAATCCAGTAGTAGCATGGAATTGAAGAATCACCTAAAAAATTCTTCCCCGTCAACATCCTGGAAAGTAGCAGAATCTGCAGTACATTTACCAATTAGAAGTAACAAAAGGGTAGCCCGTATATCAGATATAGCACCAGGAAGATTCCCTCTTCCTTTGCTTCCAACAGCTATACCCAACGCAATGTTGTCTGTTGCTGCACCAGCAAGTTGAATCAATGGCCAATAAAACAAAGCAGCTGGAACTCGTGTAACCAACTGCATGGGAACTATGGCCTGTCCTCGGAGAAGCAGTGCTGCCATTGATTCTGTTTCATGATCTAGCGGATTGTTATTACTGAGGCCAGATCTGGCACTAGATTCTTCCATACAAACATCCTGGCGAGAACTCTCTTTCTCATCAACTATTTTACTTCCGTCCATCCGACTAAGAACCCTACCAAGCTGTGCATCATCTCCAAAGTTTGTTGTATTTGCAGATGGAGCTCTCAAGCATAATTGAGAGAATAGAATGTCACACATCTGTTTACAGAAACCAAGGAAAAATAGGGATAAGGAAAATACAGATACACTCTACTAATCAAAAGTCACACAAGAAAATTCCATAGAATCATGAAACATAAATGAACCTTGGAGGAAAATGAGAATGCACTTTGCAGCAACTCAAAGCAAATTCTCCAGTACCATTTGAAAACATAGATTTGCACTAGATGTACTAAACTTGATTTTCATTTATTTTTTCTTACATAATAATCTATCGATTAAAAGTTCCATCCAGTAAACCCTTTAAATAAGAATTTATTATGTCATGACATCCAGCATTATCAATAATATTACACCAATAATCTGAATAGATAAGGTCAAGAAACATTCAACAATACTGAATATTATTATGTGCAAACAAAACATTTTACACTCTTATTTGACCCTACAGCAAGACTAAGTAGAGAAAACTTTACAGTCCCTACACCATTCAGAAACGGTACACCTTATGCTTTTTCAATTAATCAAAATCAAAGGTAACACCCTGCATTTAGTAAAGAGATTTACCAGTTCTAAGCAAATTACCTTCAAAATATTAATGCGATCTGTTTCATTAATCTGAAAAACCAAGGACAAGGCACTACTCATGATGTCTATCACTGCATTAGCTTTCTCAAGATGGCTATCTTTCCGTACATTGCCAATATCACTGCCATGTGATTGCTGGACTTTATTTTCATTTAACAAAATCTTACACCTCATGAGAAGCCTCTCAAGAACAATCAAAAAGCCCCATCTGATTGAGTTGTGCTTTGACTTCAAAAGTCCACACATAAGCCAAATGGGCAAAGGAACATCTGAAGCAACTGAAGAATCATGAACATCTGCTTGGGCAATTTTTTGCTGCATGGTTTTTATATTTGACCATATACTTGAATTCCTTTCTTCACTAATTTCTGCAATAAGCAGGTCACTTAACCAGACATAGGCATTCCGACGGTATGCAATTCTTTCTGAATGAAGAAGGGAATGTAAAAGAGCCCATGAGAGTTTTGCTTTCATGCCAACACCATTTCTCAGAACCGCACGTTCAATGCTATCCACAGACTTGTAAGATTTGGTTATCTGCATCATGTGTGAGAACTCCGTGTCCAAATGAATAAATGAGCTTATTGTCGCACCAAGTTTCTCCATTACACTGTCCAATAGCTGTAAAGTAACAAAATTCAGATAGCAACTTTGATAAAATGTTGCAATTAATTGACTTATCCAATATCAAAGAAAATATGGAACCTAAGAAAACTCTATAAATTCTGAAACTGGCAAAAATTCCACTAAACAAAAATGTGCAAAAATAGAATAACAAAATGTTCACTGAATTTCCATACAATATAGTTTGGACTCTTGAAAATTTGAAAAGCATGGGCTACCCACACCGCATGCACAAATACAATTATTTAGAATGAACGAACAAAACATGCACACAGACTCACACCAATCGCACACACAAACTTTTGAGACATTACCATATTGAGCCGTTCACTGTTTGGATATCTAGACAATGCATCTGAAATAGAACTCCTCAAGATTTCCCCAATGCCTACCAACCCAAGCTTAACAGATATATAAAAAGCTCGGGCGCATCAGCCAGATTGAGCAGGGCAACAAGAGGCTGAATCTCATCATCGCTATACTCAGTGACTCCAGTAGCTATGCATATTTCATTTATTTGATGCAAAGCATAGTCCAAAAGAACCAAAAACAGATTTCTCCTTTCCTCCCTTGATTTTGCAAGTGAATACTGTATTGCAAAAAAGTTATAGTTTTGAATCAGGAAACTTTTTCGCAAAAAGAAACCTTCAATGCAAAAGCACTTGTATATTAGTTCCAATAATAACAAATAAACATTTAAGTAAAGCTTATCTCAACTAACAGGCTGTCTCCATCTTCTACTAAAGTGATTTTTACAAAATCTAGATTACCAAACTTGCTTTCCCGTCCACAAAGATTAGGATAAGCACATACCAAATGTTATATCAGACAAACGCTTTACAAGACAGAGACTATAATAGGATTGTGATTACCAGGGTTCTTAGGTAAATGCTAGGAATCAACTAACTACCCAAATTTCTAAAAAAAGCTAATCTTCAGAGTTCAGACAAAAGAGGAACGGAAAAAAATCAACAAACCTTACTATTTTATTCCAGTTTCATGGTAAATTACTAGCATACCTCAACAAAAATAAACTCTATTCCACCAATCAGATCAACTTGCTCCGCCAGAAACAATTGGGTACTTGAAACAGCCTTGTTGATTCCTTCAGGTACTTGATAAAACATGTTTGCTAACATGCTAATAAGCTTGCAATGAACTACTTCTGCCCAAGAATTCTTCCTACTAATTTCTAGTAGTGCCTTTGGAACCTGACGGTAGGAAGTGAATTAAAACCAACATTAAACTCGTTGATATGATAGAAAAGGAATATCAAGTGATTTCTTAGATTATGGCATTATTTGGTACAAACTGGATATATAAGATCATAAGCTGCTTTATTCACACATTAGCCTTATATCTTATAAAATAGATGGTATTATAAAAAATACATCAAAAATATAGGAAAAGTTGCTAAGAAAAACTTGTCAAATATTTTCAATGGTTACAGCATTGATATACAAAACTGCAAAAATACTCACCCTTATGTCAAGTCCATTTATCCGGTTTCTCAAGATTTTGCCCCTATCACAGACAAAATATAGCAAACAACTAAGAGCAGAAGCCCAGACAGATTCCTCCTCCTCTTCTATCTGTACGAAAGATAAGAGACTAGTTGGTAAAGAATGATGTCAATAATTTCCACGCTATATGGAGCTAAAATATTTAAAAGAAAAATAGTATAGTTATGTGTCCTAACATGCTTGTTTGGGTGGAAAGAAACTACAGATTTTTAAGATAAGAAGGTGGTGGATTTTCAATGGAAGAGGAGTAGAAGTTTGCTCTCTTTGTCTAAACATTATACGGAACATTCATTTTACATTCATTTTAGACTGATAACTTTTTAGTTGAACACTGATCTTAATGGACCCACACTAGTTTGTAGCTTGTTTGATGTATCCTTTTGATTTTTTTGTTGGAGAAGGGGCAGGGGGCAATTATTTTGCGTAACCTAAAAGCTAAAACAGAAAAATAGCATGCATCCAAGATGAAAGTTCTATATCGAATATGACAGAAAATATACCTGGACAAGAAACAGCAATATCTCATACAAAATATTCAAAATCCAAGTTTCAAAATTATCAATAGCTGAGGAAGTGCCCATGATAATAGAATCTGATCTTCCCACTCCTTGTGTTGCAAGCTTAGATTCACTGTCAAAATATGATTCTTGAGAATACTCTTCTTCAATCAGTGGAATCGTTATCGGCTACCATTGGCTCTAATAAATGAGCATGAACTCCAAGATTCAAAATCAAATCAAAAGCACGATTCCTACATGCTGCTCTTGGAGAATTAAGCATTTCCTGAAAGATAATATCAAAAAAAATTGTAACCTAATGAAAGAAATAAAAAGGGAGGGGGGCGAGGAAATGGATAAGAATCATGAAAAATTAGCATGTAGTTGACCATCACCTCAAGCATAGACAGAGTGAGAGGGGCAGCAGTCCCGGAATCCAAAACATACCTACAAAATAGGGTTTCAACATACAATGAGGCAGCAAAAGACAGGGAATGTGAACTGTAATGAATACTGGCCAAATGCATAACAACATACATATCAATAACAAGTTTGATAAGGACGCTCACTGCCGCATCCATTGATGGCTTTCCATAGTTATTAGTTAATCTAGATGATACAGTCTTCACATTAGCAGTCTGTGAAGATGCCTCAGAGCAAACTGCAGCAATGACCTCACAAACCTCAGCAGGATTCAACCGCAAGGGTTGTTGTTCACTGATACACAACCAAAATATGGTGAGAGACAGAGACGGAGAGTAATTGATAATAAACAACATAATTGATTATTTGTTACCTGTAGTGACGATACTGGAATAGCTGCTTCGCCCGAGGACGAAATGTGCTCACCGGAGAATCATCCCTGAAATTTGGATGTACAACGTCAAAATAGCGCTTGGTTGTTCAATATTGTATCAAAGTTTTAGAATCAGATAACATATGACTAATGAGTACAGGTTTAACAAATATGCCTCAGAAAACTGGGATTAAGAAGAGATTAGCTTAAATGTAAATCCCTGGTGGTAAAAGAAATATCTGCAAAAGGCAGTGAATTTAAAAGAAATATCTTCAATTTTTTTTTTCCCAGTCATAGAAACATCTTCAAATTACATGATTCTATTCTGTTGTAATATTCAGAGATATGTGCCACAAATTTGAAGAACCAAATTTCAACACAACATTTTTTAAAATGCTGTAACACAGTTGACCGAGATGTAACAACAGTTGAACAAGAGGTAAGAGCATACCATATTTGATGAGGGCCGGATCTAGTACGTTTAGATGCTGTGATTGCTCTCAAATGGGAACGCGCAGTGGCAGAATCAGTTATTGCCGTTACCGGTGAAGGTTGCAACAGTTGGTCAAGATAAGGCATATCAGCAGTTCCAAAATACTTCCACGGTTGACCTCTCATTTTAGCTTCCTTATCTCCTACAAGTAGAGCTGCTGCACCTACTTCTAGAAGACTATGTGTTCTCATATCTTGGGGATTTACAACACGATCACTTGATAGGGTCAAGCAGTCAAGTTAGTTTATTAAGCAACAGGAAAAATATGAGATATTGACCAAAAAAATTGTGAACTACAAAGAAATCGACCACCAGAGATTAGAAGGTAAACACAAGTATATGTGATTACCTTTCAGTCCCCAAGGATGATGACTGATGTTCTCCAAGCCAGCGCCACTTGAAAACGTCCAGTGCAAAGTATTCAAGATTTCCCATTCCATCAATCTTTCCAATGTTTGATAAGTTCAAAATGGACATAGTTGTAGCATCTTTATTCTCCAAAGGTTCTCCACTATGTGCAGGGCTTAGTTGTGAATTAAAGGACCTGCTCAACAAAGAAGACAAACTCGGAAGAGACTGTCTAGTTGCAGAAGGGGCTCCAGAGAAAGCAGCCGGATGGAATGACCGCTTTGGAAGATGTTGAGACACAAGAGACCGCACATAGTTCAATGACTTCACAAGTGCCTCAGACGCAAAACTAGGTACAGATAAAGGAACAACATTTGTAGATGCCGTTGATATTGTTGATGTTATTGATCCAAATGATTGAGACCGTGGAGACAATCTCCGGTTTGGACCAATGTCACATTCAACAATGGTGTTTACACAAAAGCGATCTATCTGCAGTAATGTCTCTTCACTAGGTTTGTACCTACAGAGAGAAGAAAAGAATGTATAGCCATATTAATCAAAATTGCAAGAAACTATACTTGTAGGAAAGATGTTTCTCCCTCCTTTCAGACCATAGAATGCGCATCAGTGTGAGGGCCTACTAGGTAACTTTAACGACAACATAAAAGATATTCAAATCACTATCAGTATGGCAGGTCTCAAGCCCCTGCTAAAATTGATTGCAATGCAGTAAATGGAAGGCGAGAAGTTAAATATACAAATAAGGATAACTTGTGCACTGATAGTGAGATAAATCACTTCTCTAAAATGCACCTTATTTATTTTAATTTCAATGAACCAGTACAGGTTTCTCCTTATAAATTAGCATCCTGCATTATCTTCTTTCCCAGCTAAGGCCTTGAGAGGAGATTAAAGAAAATAACCACAGAATAAAATCAGGCATATCAGTCCCTACACTACAAGTGTAGTCACCACTGACAGCTTCTAAACGAAGGAAATTACAATAATGACCTCTGGAAGGATTATGAACAAATAGAAAACAGTGCGAAGCCCATTTCAAGCAAAAATATAATAATTAAATGACAAAATAATATGCATTGCAGGCAACTAGAAGAAATGAGTACAAGACTGTACAGCCATTACATAAACAACTCATACATCAAGTTATTAGAATCATTAAAGATCTCATAATATGTAGAACATACCTTAGAAGGTAGCGTTTCAAAAGTGCCACACACCTTGCTACAACTGCTGGGCTGGCATAAATAAAAGTAACATCAGGTAAAGGATCAACACATATTGTAATTGTCCTATAAATCATGATAAAGCAAAATCCATATTAAATATAAATGATAATGATTTGCAAGTAGGTGCAAATGGAGATAATTTACATTCACTTCTCAAAACACTAAATGTACATACACATACATGCAGAGACGCATATTTGTGAACATATGTCTACAAGGTCCAGTACTCCAATGTACCACTATGCTTCTAATCTCAAAAATATTCCTTATGTATGTTAGTCAAATAGTTATTATAATTCTATCCTATACATATCTGCTATCACCTTTTTTGATTCGTTTGATTGAAAATGCTCCTTTCTTTATTGAATTCCATATGCGTACTTATTTACCATCAACTAGAAGCCATAAATGTTTACTCCTCACCTTCTATTTTAAGGTTTCTAGTATCAATACCTATTTGATAAAACAATCACCTATATTTACCACAAAGCTCATATGAGTATTAAATATTATTTCTATACGCAACTTACTTGCAGTTATAATGGTTTGCTGTTACAGGTATTCCCAAATTTACCCTTCATGACTTTTGATTAATAGGTTACTTGAACTATATTTTATAGCCCATTCAATCTTGTGATGCAGATCTGGAAAGCACACAGCGAAAACTAGTTTTTATCTAAACAATCACCAAGGCTGGGCTCTTCGCCAGAGCTGGTTTTGACACCAACTCATACTTGTCATCATTCCTGAAATGTGTGAAGCATAAGTTTCTTCTTTTGCATTGATTACATAGAGACTTGAACCTAGGATCTCTACCCTCTTCCCAACCATCCCATGTCACTTGAGCTAAGGCTCATGGGCAAGTATTTAAGTCAAATTAAGGAATGTAAAACCTACAAGAGTATATATAAGATTTACCTTCGCTCCCTCTCAGCAATGGTATGTTCTAAAATCACATTGTAAGACAAGTCCATCGTCGAAGGGGCTGCCAAATAGTCCTGCCAGTCATAATAAGTTTAACTTGCGAAATATGAAACTGAATCTCATTCAAGTCAATCAAATAAGAGGATACAGAGCACCGTTAATCATAGGTCAGATACACTGATGTGTGGATAACTGAATAATCGCCACTAACCAGGATCAATAAAGTCTCAACATGTTATTGTACTTCAAGCCAAGACCGCCAGTGAAATATAAATATGCTCCATAACCAGTAAATTCGAAAATCAGCAATAAAATTCCATTTCAACTTGCCCCATTATGTATACCGCTCAGAAAAAAAAAAATACTCTTTTGAAGAAGCGTTTTCTTTCGAATTTAAATATTTAGTGATCCAAGCAAGGACTTGTTGTATTTAAGACCAATCACAGAGGAGGGAAACCGCATTAACTACTCCCTCCAATGCAAACTCAAAACGTAAACACACACACACACTACGATTAACCATTTTCAGCACTCATGCTCTGCTCGTTGCTAATTGCTAAGAGAATGTAGCTAGCTAAAAACACTCTAAACAAAATCTACAATGTGTATGATTTTACACTAGCCAAAGCCAAAACCTTACACCTACTAAACCAAAATTCAGCTTAATTATCTATGTTTAAGGTCATAAAACTCATTAATAACTTGCTTTGTACTATAAAGAAGATTTTCTCAGCAACCAAACAGAGTTCAAATCTCGAATTCATTCAAAATCCACCAATTAAAACACAGCACACAACCGAGAAGACCTAGATTCCAGAGCATAGACCGGCATTTCAAAGATCCAAAAATCCGGAGCTAAATCACAAACCAAACAGCCAAAAGAAGACAATTTTCACTCACCCGAAGAATTCGAGAAGCTTCGGAGAGGAGCACAGTGGAGGAAGTGGTCCCATGGTGGGAGGTAGCCGCGGCGGAGGAGGACAGGCAGTCGGCCACAGCTCGGCGCAGCGGCTCAGGCGGCTTCTTGAGCAACGAAGATCTCAACCTGGAAACTCCTCCTCCTCCTCCTCCTCCACCTCCGCCCAACTGAAGCCTCGAACTCCCGGGGCTCCGAGCCGGACTGTTGTAGCCCGAAGACATCGGGTGCTGGGGTCGGGTCGCCACCCGAATCTCTCAGAACTTCACCTCGCACGGCGGAAGAAAAACTTCGTTTTTTCTGCTCTGTGCAGAGCTCGACTCTTACACTTGAGCAAAACCTGAAAAAAAAAAATAATGTTGTGCTCGAAATGCAAACCAAGTCCGCGAGGGCGAGAGAGAGACTGGGAAAATGGTTTTTATTTATTTAAATTTTGAATTTATGGATTTAATTACTAAAATAATTAAATAATATTTTTGGGAGATTCTTAAACATCGTTGTAATGTGGTGATTAGCTGGAGGGATAGGCGTAGTTTTATGAGGGGTGATTAGCTGGCATTCACTAGAATTTGTCCCTTTTTTCTTCCAAAAACGACATTTGGGAATATAAGGAGGGAGGGAGGGAGAGAGAGAGAGAGAGAGAGAGAGAGAGAGAGAGAGAGAGAGAGAGAGAGAGAATTTCTTTATTTTCTTTTTTATTTGCGTTTGATTTTTTTATCTATTCATTTATTTTTTAATAAGAATTTTTTTTTAACAAACGATATTATCTACACTAATAAAAGAATGTGAGCTTAGCCTCATAATGAACTAGCAATAATATAGTTCAAATTCGCCCTTATGTTGTTGTTGTTTTTTTTTTTATAGTTAAATTTGATTTAGTTTGTACTTGTAGGGGGAATGTGGGTAAGTTTTGGAAACTAGAATTGAGTAGTACAACTCAAATTCCCATAAGGAAAGATATTGCTATGTTTTATTGTGTGGCTTCCGTATTGGATGTATAGGTTGCTACATTAGGAAGAACTTTCCTAAAACATGAATGTCTATCCTCACAACATTTCAAACTTTAGTGTTTTCCCACTCTTATCATGAATTATTTTGGACAAATCTTTGAGTATGTAAGTATATGGTAATGTGAATAGAGAGTAAATGCATTCATTGAAGGAAAGAAGTTGCGATGCTAGTGTCGGTCATGCATTGTTCTAAAATGGCTAGACGCGTTTTCAAACAACAAAAAGCCTTTTCCAGCAACATTTAGAAGGGCTATATATGCTTTCCCACAATCAAAAACCTTTATGGCAACCTTTGGAAGGTTAGGCACGTTTTCGCACAAATAAGGTATTCTTTGCTCAGCTAACACGTTTTCAGACAACCAAAAGCCTTCTATAACAACTTTAAAAGGGATATACATGTTTTTCACACAACCAATAGCCATTATAACAATCTTTGCAAGGCTATACACGTTTTCACCCAACGAAGAACCTTTATGGCAATCTTTACAAGGCTAGACACGTTTTCGCACAACCAACAACTCTTCTACTAATAATTAGTATTGTGAGTATCCCCATTGCCTCAATCACTACTAAAATAACTAAAATTTTGTTTTGCAATCTATTATATTTCTTTAGTATTTTATCGAGGAAGAAATTGATTTTAAAAGTTTACGAGACAATGAAGACCAAATTGGTACCACGCTACTTATGAGTAGAAGTGATACCTACAAAATACATTTTCAAAATGCGTAGCCACACTATATCACGTCTCAACCACCGGCGAAACTTGATCACGAACATATTTCGAACTTTCTAGAAAAGCCTACTACTTAACTAGTTAATTTATGGCTTGATTTTTCACCTTCGGGTTAAATAATTTGACTTATAAATTTTTTTTGTATAATTTTTATTTATAACATTAAAAATATGTTTCGACCTAAAAGAAATTACTCCCGAATCACAGAGAACTTTTTCTTTTCGGGAAGGTGGTCAACATAGTATGACAAAAGAAGTGGCAAACAGAGCATATTGGGCCAAGCATACCAGCCCAGATATATTGAATCCAACATAAAGAAACTATTGGGCCAAGAAGCCCACATGCCTATCCGACCCATAAACCTACAGCCGCGCTCTACTGCCAGTATTATACACGCGGATCTCATCCAGTACTTCAGATAACAAGTCCTTGCGAATCTGAGCGTACACGTGTCCGTTCCATTTCCGCGAGACCAACTCCTCTCCAAGTCTAACCGCGGCCTCAACCGTCTCCTCCGCGCTATCGTGCGCCGAGTCGATTATCCCCTTCGCCACTGCCACGTCCGCCGTCATCTTATCGGCTCTCAGCAACAAATCGCGCCGAGCCGCCGGTGAGCTGATTTTGCGATCGAATAGCGCCACTAACCAGCCGGGAGAAGGAGCTCGATGTCAAGCTCACTCATGTAGATGAAGCCGCGGTCTCGCCTCATGAGGAGGTAGTCGTGGCTGCGAGCGAGGATGAAGCCGGCGGCGGAAGCGTGGCCGGAAACGGCGGCGATGGTGGGCATGGGGAGGGAGATAAGGTCGGCGACGAGGGACCGGACCTTGGAGCGAATGAGCTCCAACCGGGACTCGGAGGACTTGGCCCAGGAGAGATCGTAGCCGTTGGAGAAGAATTTGCCATGTGCGGTGGTGATTAGGGCTGAGGGTGATGATGACGTGGCGGTGGTTGTAACGGCGGTTCGGATTTCGTTGAGGGCGGACCGGATTGAGTCGATGAAAGTGGGATTGAGTCTGTGCTCGCCCGGGCCTGTTAGCGTTAGGATGAAGACGTTGCCTTTCCTCTCTAATGTGCACATCTCTCTCTCTCTCTCTCTCTAGAAAATCTCTCTCTAGAATTTGAAGTTTAAGCTTTGGTTATGGAGGATCGAATATTCAAGGACTTGCCTTCTTCTTCCCATGTATTGGTCAAATTGATGCTTCATTTGTGACTTCATAATTCTATAAAATGTTGTCCTCTTTTGTTTTTTCTTCTATCTTGGAAGGAACATGTCACATTGAATCGAGAAAAACTATCTATGCAATTGGATTAGCATTTAAAATAAAAAGGCAATTGGGTCAGCATTTAAAAAAAAAGGTTAAAACATATAATAATGTTGGATTAATTTAACGGATTTGTTATTAATAATGTTTGATTAACTTAATGAATTTGTTATTGATAGCCATTTCATCACGTAGTTTGATTTTTGTAAACAACGAAGACTTTTCATAATCAATTTTTGCTTTTTATCTTTTAGATTTTGATTGGTTCTGAACTACTGAAGAAAATTATAACTTAGATAAGGTGGTCTTGAAAAAGGTTGGGGTGATGCCATGAAGAGCTTCTTACTCACAACTGAGATTTAAACATGCATGTTACTTGAAATGTACATGAATGAGAATGATATATAATTGTTGTAAGGTATGTGATAAACTACTTCTTTGAGGTTATTTAGGTATAGAATAATACGGATTTTGACCGTATAAAGTTTGCATTCCTTCATTGGAGGATGAGCTAGTTATTTCTTACGAATAACGTATTTTGACTATATAAATTTTATAATCGCAATTGTTTAATTTTTTTTTTAATCTTTATTAAAAGATCACCTCTTTAAAAACTCATTTAAATGTATTGAATAGCTTGTTTGTATAGGCTTAAAGTAAATCCTTATGATAAACTGTCTATTTATTTGATACATTTAAAATAATCAAACGATTTCCAATTCGAACAATTTTTTGTAAGTTTAATCTTCATATGAAGATTAATAAATTGAATGATTAATCATTGATTTTATTCGATCAAGATCTAGAGAATATGGTAATCCCATCTTTATTGGCAAACTTGATATGATAGACAAGTTAAAAATCCAACTAAATTATTCAACCCAACAAAACTCAAATCAATTTTCTGCCAAGCAAAACAATAACAGACCCGACCAAATTATCACCTACAGTCGTGATTTTGTGCCAGTAGTATTTCCGCGGATCACATCCAGAACATCAGACAACATATCCTTCCGAATATGAGCGTACACGTGTCCGTTCCACTTCCGCCGAACCAACTCCTCTCCCAAATTAGCCGCGGCCTCGACAGTCTCCTCCGCGCTATCGTGCGCCGAGTAGATAATCCCCTTCGCCACTGCCACGTCGGCTTTCACCTTATCGGCTCTGAGCAACAAGTCGCGCCGAGCCGCCGGCGAGCCGACCTTGCTCTCGATCAGCGCCAAGAACCAGCGTGGCAGAAGAAGCTCGATGTCGAGCTCGCTCATGTAGAGAAAGCCGCGGTCCCTCCTCATGAGAAGGTAGTCGTGGCTGAGAGCGAGGATGAAGCCGGCGGCGGAGGCGTGGCCGGAGACGGCGGCGATGGTGGGCATCGGGAGGGAGATGAGATCGGCGACAAGGGACTGGAGCTTGGCGTCCATGAGCTCTCTGCGGGATTGAGAGGACTGGGCCCAAGAGAGATCGTAGCCGTTGGAGAAGAATTTGCCATGTGCGTTGGTGATTAGGGCTGAGGGAGATGATGACGTGGCGGTGGTGGTGACGGCGGCTCGGACTTGGTTGAGAGCGGATCGGATTGAGTCGATGAGAGTGGGGTTGAGCCTGTGCTCTCCTGGGCCTGTTAGCGTTAGGATGAAGATGTTGCCTTTCCTCTCTAACGTACACATCTCTCTATCTAGAAAATCTCCCCTCTTTCTCTCTCTCTCTGTCTCTCAAAAAAATGTAAAGGTCGAAGAAATATAAAGCTGCGGGTATTGATTGATTGGTGGATTGAAGCCACCATTTGAGAGTTGACTTCAAACTTCAAAGCAGTTGAAGCCGGCCGGCATTCAAAATAGTAGTATATTCGACGAAGTTGACGTTTTCCCTTGAAAACAGTACCCGATTACTTATAAAACATTTATAACTTTGGTATCTTATTTACTTTTTTTTTATTATTTTTCTAAACATTTATTAAGAATATTTTTTGAAAATAATTTTTTTTTAAAGACTAAAAAATTTGATTGGTTTGCGATTTAAACTAGACAAAGAGGTCTAAAAAGAGAGAATCACAGGAGAGGAAGAAAGAGGAGAGATGAGTAAAAAAAGTAAGAGATGATTGAAGAAAATGAGAAAGAAGAGAGGATCAGACAAGATAGGAAGGAAGAGGAGTGAGAAAAAGAATCAAGAAAATGAAGAGAATGTATTGGAGAAGAGACGAAAAAGGTAAAGAAAAAAATAAGGAGAGAAGAAGAAAAGAGAGATAGATTTGGAGTGAGAGGGGAGGAGGGAGAGAGAAATGAGTGAGCTTAACTTTAAAAACTCTAAACACTCACTTTTTAAGTTTTTAAATAATAGATTATATTTTTAAGTTAGTATTGAGTTGTTTTTGAAAACAATCTCACCAAACAAGTTTTTAAGGCCTAAAACTTAAAAAGTGTTTTTGAGTTTAAAAAGTTGAATTCAAGTAGAGTATCAAACAGACCCTTAAGAACTCATAATTTTTAGAAAAACTAAGAATGTCATCGTAACAACATCTTAATGCCCTGATTGACAATAGAAGAGTAGGCTAACAACTTATAAGTTCTTACAAAGTTTCATAACTTGCCACACAAAGAATTAGGTTTGAGATACTGCAACAAAGAATGAGCGTCTGACTAAAAGCCCAGTACATTTACAACTTATAAGACTTAGGATAAGTAAAGCCATAATTACTGTAGTGTAACGTGAGAAGCAAATCCTGCATATGAAACTTCCGGCTCACTACCTACGTAGGCCGCGACCGTACATCATCAACGCAGAAGGGCATTCATAAGCTTGGTGACCCATTCCACCACAAGTGTTGCAGATGACAATCGATATGCACTCTCGGCTGATATGGCCTGGCAGCCCACAGTTGCGGCACTGTGATGTCGCGGAAAGGGCCTCTGATGTCTGGGGCTAGGCCTGCCTTGGCGCAATGGCGGGCCACGTGACCTGATATGTTGCAGGTGTGGCAAACAGGTTCGTTGGGGCAGTCACGAGCAAGGTGTCCAGGTTTCCGACAGTTAGTTACAAGCCTTCTCGTTGGTGCAATTGACAGCAATATGACCCGGTTTGTAGCAGTTGTTGCAGAGCCTTGCATCATGGGATGAAGGACTAGGGTTCAAGCAATCGCGAGCCAGGTGGCCTTTCTTACTACATATATGGCAGACTGGATTATTAGAACATTGGTTTGCAAGATGTCCAGGCTCCTTGCAGTTCCAACACATAGTTGTTGAGTTGCATTCTGCTGCAATGTGGCTGATAAAACATATAGCATTTGAATATTAAAAACATTTCACAGACGAAAATCAGGATTTGCAGTCCTCCGTGCAACCTATTTTCTGTGACTCTTAAAACCATATTACGGAAAATGAAGGTTCGGCAGAACTCACCCTGGAAGTCCACAGTTGTTGCAGACAGTCATATTCGGGCAATCCCTTGCAAAATGCCCTGGCCGTTTACATTTATTGCAAAGACAATCTTGCCTGAAAAATAACAGAATAATCATTACGACATGAAATTGAAGATGAAGCAGCAAAAGATTATCTCAGTTTTATAAACATATGGAGTCCAAATACCAAGAGATCAGTTTGCGTGCGTTATACATAGTTACCTATCGAATTATTATCAGAAAGGAGGACTTCAGCCAATGGAAATTAAAGTCAACTTGAAAAGTTAAAACAAAATCTCTTTGAGTATTAAATGTTACAGGCACAAGAACAGAGCAAAGTTTTACAGGATTTCTCCACTTTAAACCAGTAATACAATACACACGGGGAAAGGACAAAACACTAGCACCAGATTTGATAGTTCCTGAGGAGAGTCGATGAAAATCCAGGTAAGAATCACCATTTCTGTAGTAGGTTACCACATCATTATGAACAACACCAAGCGTAAAATAAGACGAAGCTTGGAAGTGCCTAACTCTTTAAGTAATATTAAGTATTTGGTATTAGTTGTTCCAACTTACTAACTTTTCAAATTCAATTCGCATCCTGTCTCATAAATTTGCTAACTTTAACATATTGTGATGGCAGCACTATATCTCCATTTCAATTTCTTGTCTAGCAAGTCATCTGTCTCGAAAACTATATGGATACTTTTATAATTTAATTCTTGACGTGTAATAATCTACATACTAAAACAACGAACATCCTATATAGATCCAAAAGATATAGGATAATAAATGATCGAAAATACAAAAAACTTCACCAAAGCTCATACCATCACAAGGGATGGCTACATAATCATCTCAAGTTGCTCTATGAGTACCATAGAGCGAGAAAAGACAAAACGAAACCGAACACACTGGAAACAAAGGTTAGAACGTTTAACGAGATACCTATAACTGCGGCGTTCACTAGGATATGGAGCATCACGGTAAGATGTGCGTTCTCTGCTGTGGTATCTTTTGGCTAGTTCTGGGCGTTGACTGCTATTCACACTCATGTTGGAGACCACCAAGCGAAACCTTCAACAAAATACCTTTATAAGAAAAGAACCGAAACAAGAACGAGCTAGCGAGTGCAGCAACCTGCCTGCCAGAAGAAGTATTCCAATTGCTAACACGACCGCAAAAACCAACTACATGAAACTAGAACCACATCCAATCATCCCAACAAAATGTTAACCATCACTCAGTTTCCGATAACATGGAACCAGTGGAACTGCGTGTTTAGCCAAAAGAGCTATAACTACACTGGCAACTCAAATAAATGAAACACATCCAAGGCAAAGTTCCCAAACATGTTTACAACTACAAACGCTTGACAATGTATCCAAAACTTAAACGTTCTTAAACGCCCGCGTCTCCGATTCGATTCGAGACTAACAACCTAAGTCCATGAAAGATATATTCTCAGTCTGATGTATTCTCAGACTGATGTATTCTCCGTCTGATGTATTCTCAGTACTTCAAATTCCAAACAGATAAAAAATAAAAATCAGTAGTTTAATTTATTCTCAGCAACACAAACGAACAGAAAATAAATCATATTCTACATACACAAACCAATCATATTCTACATACACAAACAAATCGATAAAATTCCTGAAAATTCAATGACAGAGCGATTTCCTCAAAACATAAAAGCAAATATATACAACATGTATGTGTGTGTGTATTTATATGCGCAAGGGAAAAGTGATTACCTAGTTCGTGTGAGGTAAACGTTGAGATGCAAGAAGAAGAAGAAGACGAAGAGGAAACCCTAAGATTGAAGAATTTGGGAATTTGAAAGCACAGAGAGCAGAGCTTATTTATTGCTTCAGTTCTCGACGAGGATGAGCGTGATTTGTACGACGACACAGTTTACCGCCATGTGTATGTTTGGTCAAAGTAAGGCTGTGTTTGGCTTTGTGTTTGCAATTTGCCACTTCTCCAAAAAGCCAATAAGCCAATAAGCTTTTTGCTTTGTTTGTTTTTTTTTTCCTTTTTTAATAAAGGCCAATCAGTAAGGATTGCATCGTAAATATATGTCCTTTCATGCCACCTGGCGTCTACTTGACAGACATTTCGGTATTTCGAATTCGAATCCTCGTCGGATCCTTTTTGTAGGGATTTTAGGAATCCGTTATTTTAAATATTTTTATTTAAAATTAAATACAAATAGTACTTGATAAAAATTAACCGCACGATATGCGATGAATGAACACGATTTACAAATTCTCTAGATCTACATCAAAAGGATCCTGTTTGCGCTATTTCGATAAAAGTAAGTCTCATTCATGCCAAGTCAACACAGTTGTAGAAATCTTCAACGGATTTGAACGCAAAGTAGCAAAGTGTGACAACAGAATGTGTGGTGAGTCATGAGTGATTAAGTGAACCAAAGCGAGTTCGAAGAAGCATCATGAGCTAAAAAATTAGATGGAATTTGAAAGAAATTTTGAAGTTACTTTCAACTGAACCCATTTTTACCTCACCATACGCATAAAGGTAATGCTAAAGAGATTAAATTTAGAGACAAAATTTACAAACTAAATGATGTATCGTCAATAAGAATAAGCACGTCTATTAAAGTGTAAATAATAAACCAATTATCAACTTCTATAACGTTTAGTTTTCAAAACTTTGCTTACAAATTTAATGCAATATCACTCAGTGTACTAAAAATGCCAATGTGGCTGTACATTTGGGCTTGTTTAGAAATGCATTTTTAGAAATTACTTATGCATATAAACACTTCAGTAAAAGCACTTCTACTAAAAGCACATTGAATTTTTTTAATAAAAATGCAAGTGGCCCATGAAAAAACACTTGAAGTGAAAGCATACAACAAGCGTAGGGAAAACCTAAAAACTTTGAGGCAATTGGGTGTGATAAATAGAAATATGAATGCTAATAAGAATATGCTTACATTTCCATTCCATATAAGCACTTCAAGATGAAAATACCAAAGCGGCCGAAGTAATCACTTTCAGATGAATGGCTATCAGCAGTTTCAGTTCAGTTCAGTTTCACACAATTCAAACGGCCCGAAAGCAAGGTAGCACAAGAGGTGGCATTTCTATATATCCAGCTGCACATAACCACCAAAGCGGCCGAAATAATCACTTTCAGATGAAAACATACCATGTTACTACGAAAACCAGAGTACATTTCCATTCGATATAAGCACTTCAATATGAAAATACAACATACGGAGTGCATATATGTTCGGATATTAAGAAAACATAGGTTACATATTAAGGCCGGCAAGCCTTGCGAGCTAAAACATAGTTCTGCAGTCTCACAGTAGTCTTAGTACACGACCACGAACTTCCTCCTAAAATAGTCAGTAGAGATTCTACACTTCACTAGTGCAGATAACTAACTATAACTATTTGGACGGAATTGCTGTACAGCACACTTACAAGATGGAAAGATTCGAGGATGCAATCCTCAAAACGGGAGCAAATGTAACAGCTCACCAGCCCATGAGGGTTCTTCTAACTCTCTCTACAATATTACTCCTATTTTGTTTGCTTACCAATGGAAATTCACAGCTATCATCCAAAAGGAATCGGTAGATTTCCCACTGGCAAACTGAAGTTGAATTCCTTACAATTTCAGCCTGCAAATCAACAATGAAATAATGAGAAAACGCGAGAGGGCATGCCACAAAAAGGAAACTGACATCAAATTCTTACCGCAAAAATAGATACTCCCAATTGTTTCAGTGCTAGAGTAACATTGTAGAATACAAGGGGCCTCCCCTTTCCAGATAACTCAACTGGATTAGCAACTAAGAGTTCGGTTTCTGGGCCCCTGTTGGCAACAATTACTCGCAGTGGGTGAACCATCTCCTTCTTTAAATGATTACACAATGCAACCTGAACTTCAGGATCAAGAAGCTTTTTTCCATTTGTCTGCTGAATAAATAGGTCCAAATTTCGGAAGCCTTTCACAGGTGACGAGAATCTACCATAAGCAATCTAAATGAGAAACAACAGAATTGCATCAGTAAACTGCTAATTGCAAATATAATAGCGAAACACAAAAGTCATATCCAATGGGAGTTATGAACGCTAAAAAAGAAAACTGACAATTCTTTTCCGTAAATATTTACAGGTGCAAGAACCAACAAATGGCACTCAAGAAAAATAGACGTAAGTGGCTGTCTGACTGAAATCTGTCCTGGTATATTGAGGCAGCCAAAATTTTTGGACAACAGAATTTCAAGACATCATGAAAAGTACCTGAATATTGCAGTCCTTGGAAGTCCTCATAATGTCATAAAAGAGGCCATTCCGATCAACACACTGTATTTGCAGCACCGTATGAACAGGGCTCAATGAATTATCCACTGTAATACTGGTCTTGTTCACCGTTCCCATGTTCCGGGTGAGAGCTTTTGGATAAGCCTCCTCATCTTTCAGCTGATAGCTAAATAATTCGTCAGCAATGGCTGGTGGAAGAGAAGAATTCCCCTGCAGACTTTCATACTCAGGTCCAGGCAACTTAAGCTCACAGGTGATGCAATACTCTCCTAAAGCAGCCATCAGATGCTCACATATGTCGTCTCTTCTCTGTTTTGTGTGTAACAACTCCCTGAAAGTAAATGGTACCAAATAATGGGTTAATAACGCTCCAAGGTATAACCAACACGTATGAGCAATTACAACTCTTCACCACATTATGTACTCTCAGAAACTAGACATATGAAGTGAATGCTGGGACATTCGATTGGTATTAAACTCAAAAGAATCAGCCAAGTTTGGGAAGAATGATATCCAAAATTCAAAGTACTAACAGAAGAAATGCAAAAATTGACAACCCAGAATACATACACAGTTCTCCCAGTTAAAAGCATCTCCAACCAAGATGTCAACTGCCACAGTGGACAGAAAAAGGCTAGCTTTGGCAGAAAAATTACTCCAATTGATCAGCCAAAGCTGATGAGGATTAAAGGGACGGCATTTCATTAATTTGAATTGTTAACTGGGCTCATTAATGCAATTTCTTTTGTTAATGTGGGTTACTTTAATACCAAACTACATAATAAGGAAGATAAAAAGAATAAAAATAAAAAGCAAAACTAAAATGAATAAATAAATTTTGATATATAAGGTGGGAAGTTATATAATATCCAAATCCAAATTGCCACATAGGCCATCAAATTCACTTATGTAATTTGATCAACAATACAATCAGATTGGATAATTCGTCCAATGTATTGCCAACCGAATTCATCTAGATTCCCTTAAAATATGGGATTAACTCAAAAGGTTCATAAACCAACACGAGAACTTAAGACTGGCAGCTGGTTCCAATATCTCGAGCATAATTAGCAAACCAGACAACTATTCAAAATCAATCATGGACACCTAAATGTGAAGCATACTAAGTAAAAATTCTATTGTTGAAGTAAAAGTGGATGGTTGTTAAGGTTAATAACCACAACACCAACACGCAATTTTCAATAGGCGCACGAAAAACTCACAAGCAATCTGTGATGAAGAAGAGGTCCAAAACTCGGCCATCCGGGGTCGGCATCACTTTCACTCTCTGAATCAGAATTTCAAGCTCACAGAGCACTTTGGTAACATCTACATTTACACAAAAACAACCATAACTTCTTCATTACTCAACCATATAAACAAAACAAACAACAGTCGAGAACAAAATAGAAAACCCAATAAAAATTAATGAAGAAGTTGAGATTTTGACCGTGGAGTGAGCCTCTCTGGTCATGGCACCACAACTTCAACAGATAGACCGGAGAGGGGGTTGGGACGTTGGAGATTTGATTGAGATAAAACGAGAAGAAGCGCGACGACGGGCACGCGGACGAGAGCCGATCCTTCAACCTCTCCCAATCGACCTTCAGGGATTCGTGGTGGGGGACAACCCACAGCACTATATAGCACCACCTTCCATCCGTCGAGAAATCTGCAACAAAAACACCCAAAAATCTCAAAATCTAAAAAACCCAGGTGCCAGAATTTTAAATTGGAGATTTGAATTACCTCCTTTGGTAATGGAGAGGCCGAACTGGAGGATGATTCGGCAGAGGTCGCAGCCGAGGCCGGCCTTGTCGGGACAGTTCACGGTGAGGACGGAGGGCTCGTCAGGAGCCTTCCCCGGCTTGATAACGACGATGTCGTCGCAGGGAATGCCCATGGCGGAATCAGGGTAATCACGAAACTACCCCTGGGAATCGTTGGCCTTTGGGGGATGGCATACGAGAGGTTGTGGCGTCCCGGCCGACTTAGTGGGATTGCAACGGGGTTAAAAACATTCAAGTGCCGCCAACGATGGTGGGGTCAGCTTTGTCGGATTCCTTATTGGGGCCCATCAAATGATTGTGCCACGTCAATTTTTAGCGGTCACACTTTAGCCGAGGCCCACATAACAGCATTTATGTTTTTTTTTTCTTTTAATGCAACTGATTATTGTCATTTTCTTGCCAACAGAATCCTCTAGATTTTTTAATAATTGATGGGAATATTGAGAGGTCAAAGTTGTGTCTATTTATGTATATTTAGTTTTTATTTAACATTGTTTGTATTTAATTATTCATTAATTATTTTTAATTATACGATATGCAATAAATAAATATAATTAACATAACACATCTTCAAAATTCTTATAAAAAAGATCTAGCGAAGATCCAAATTCATTTTTCTTAATTTATACAATTTAATAATAAAAAAACTAATTAAAAATGTTTAAAAACTTTAAATTTTAACAAAAATAACAAAATAAAATAATATCAAAATTGAAATTTTAACATAAAAATATAATTTTTTGTTAAAATAAACAATACTAAAAGCTTTTCATGAAAATTCTTTTAATAATATTCTTCCTCACTTATATATAAAAAAAAATTATTTTCAATTCTCGCTAAATACAAAATTCAAATATATTATTATTAACACATTTTAAAACTTGGTCCACTCCTCCACCCATTTAAATTAAAAAAATTTATTTGTTCAAAAAAAAATCTAAATAATTATTGTAAAAATTATTTAAATAGCAAAATTAATTCAGGTCGCAGTTGTAAACGACAAGTCAACAAGGAAAAAATACTGATCCCAAACCAAAAATGTCCCAAATCGATTTTCCCAAAATTTTCGGTATGCTATCCCGAAAAAATACCGAAATTTCGGTATGGGAATTGGGATTGTCTTCCCAATATTTCGGTATTCCCAGACTGAACTGAAAATATATATTTTTAATTATTATATATATTTACACAAATAATAATATATATTATTATTTTTAATTATAGTTAGAGTTAATTTGAACTGTTGGATTGTTTCAAATTAATCTATGTCGTCCATACCTTGTTATGCTTTCTCCCATTCGAGGACTCGAGTGACGTTTCAAACTTTGGATTTCATTTCTCACTCACTCAGTCTCTCAGCTCAATGCCTTAGCCACTGAGACAACCATCTCCTCCTCCGCTCTGTCTCAAATCCAACTCCAACCAATCAGTCACTGGCCCACCACCACACGGATCATCCGTTGTTGTCTCTCTCCGACGGTGGACCCTTCCTTCACTACACTAATACAATGAAGTTGTCATTCCTCTGGTAGGTGGCACTTTGCTGCTTTCACAATCCTTAGACCATCTCTAATGGTTGGACTAAAAGCCAAATTTTTTAGCAAGGAAAATTTAGCTTTTAGCTTAGAAACAGCTTTTCTGCTCTAATCATTTTAGCCTAAAATTTTAGCCTGTGATTATTAAAGAATGAACTTAGGCTATTTTTTTATTAAATTAATTTAAAATAAATAAATAAATATGTAGACAATTGTGAATTAATTTTATAAACATTTTAATTTTAAAAAATTTAAATTCCGATAAATATTGAAAAATCACTCAATTTTTCACAAAGCAAGCCTTCAACTTTTACCAATCTTTCAACGTTGGGCTAACTTTCAATTCACCAACCATTCAACACCAAATTTTCAATTCACCAACCATTCAACACCAAACTTTCAACTTTCATCAACCGTTCAACTTTCATCAATCATCCTCTATATAAACATATGGTAAGAAATGGTAGAAAGATAAATTGGAAGAATTGTAGGAGAAAATTGAGTTTTGTGTAAATGATTGAACAAATACATAGGTATTGATAGAGTTTTTGAATGAATTTTGAGTTAAATTCTTTTTTTTTTAAATTATTTTAGCCGTTAGATTTTTTTTTTTTTTTACCATTAGATTTAATTATATTCGATCTTAACCATTAGATTCAATAATAAATAAATATAAAAACAAAAAAAAATTGAATCTAGGCTGTTGGATTTATCAACAGCCTAATGATCACAACCGTTGGATGCAAGGCAAAACGTGGCCAACAGGCCCACATGGATGGGTCCCTCGCGGTAGGAAGGCTCGCACGTTAGGCGTATTGGGCATTGGGTTAGGTTGTGTTTGGAGCCCAAACATTAAAAACCAAACATTTTGGTGGGGCCCACACCCACTTTGGGCTAAATTTTGGACAAAATCTAGCCTCACTTTCCTATTTAGCTATTCATCTAAAATTTCCCCTTAGATTAGATTAAATTTGATGGAAAATTTAGCTCATAACCCACCATTCAAGTAAGTCTTACAAAGTTGCATTTCCTATGGCATATTGCATTTCAAAACAATTATTTTCTTTGATTAGATCCTCCTGTATGTTATATTAGTTCTTGTAAAGTTCATATAATGCACACTACACAACCAAATATTATAGCCCAAAACCTCAAAAATATTTCAAAATTCCCCAAATACTAAAACTATTTCAAAATTTCCAAAAACTAAGATTCCCAAAAATTTAGTTTAAAATCAAACTTGAAATTGGAAATATCAAAAATTTCAATTTGGGAATCAAGACTAAAGTTTTGGTTTAGTATTCCATACCAAACCACCCTAGTGCTACTTGCTAAATCCAATAAAAACAAAAATCCTTTCAATTTCCAAACTTTTGCGACAAATTACAACCCGAATCTAAAACTCCGACCCATTCGGAACCCGACGACTGAATTCACAAAGTTAACCCCCGAATCCGTATAGGGTCCTACCCTGCCTCTTGAGAGCGTAGACGACGTCCATGGCGGTGACCGTCTTCCGGCGGGCGTGCTCGGTGTACGTCACAGCGTCACGGATCACGTTCTCCAAGAAGATCTTGAGGACGCCTCTGCTCTCCTCGTAGATTAGCCCGCTGATTCTCTTCACCCCGCCTCTTCTGGCTAGCCTCCGAATCGCCGGCTTGGTGATGCCCTGGATGTTGTCGCGGAGGACCTTACGGTGCCGTTTCGCTCCGCCCTTGCCCAGGCCTTTGCCTCCCTTTCCGCGTCCTGACATCTTCGATGATTACGGTGTCGTTTTTTGAGAGTTTGGTGAGTGGGTGAAGTGTGTGGTGAGTTGTGGTGCGAGACAGGTAAAGTTGCCTTTATAGCGGGGGAAGGGTGAGAGCTGACGATCCGCGGCTTTGAGTTTGGGTGATTTTGAGACGTTGATGAAGTGTAGATCGACGGTGCGTGTTGTTTGGGCATATGCGTGACGTGGATCGTGGTTTCGTTTTGGGCGGGATTTGAATCGAGGAATCTGGAAATTTTGAAGGGAGTTTCCCGCTATTTTAAAATTACCGTTTTTGCCTGCCAAATAATTGGCGGTAGGCTTATAAATTTCGTGTAAATAGCTACTGACTATAAATTTGAGCTGATTATAATTGTGTAACGTCACAAATTATATGTCTATTTATATAAATTACATATTAATAGAATTTTCTTTGTCAAACAAAAAGATGATGAAAAAATTATTTAGTCTTTGATCACAGAAAAAATGATGAACAATAATGTAATTTCATCAAAACTAATTTTGTTTTTTTTTTATTTATTAAAACTTCACCTACATGTGATCAGCATATATTCAATATTAAAAAAAACAAAAAATAAAAATCTTTATTTCCACTCCCACTTTCTCTCTCTCACTCCTTCCTTTTCAATTTAAAAACAAAAACAAAAAAAATTCACACACACAAAGTGTGTAGACATGTTGCTAGTTACGTATGAATAAAGGGGCTTTCAAAATAAGTGTAAAAAGAAGTTTTTCGAATTATAGCTATTTTAATAATTTTTGAATTATTACTTTCTGGCACCCTAGGAATTTGAATCATTTTGTGCCTTTTTGGTAATTCTCTTTCATTTCTGTCATCACCATAACAAACTATTATATTTATGTTCTGCAAAATAAATTTTTATGTGCAAAATCTATTATAATTCGTATTTAAACCTTTGTAATCAACGATTTAAAACATAAATTTAAAGATATTTAAACCTTTTTTTTTTGTTTTGATAATTTTTCTTTCACCTAAATTTATACTACATATTAAAAGAACCCTCTTTGTCAATCAGAAGACGATGAAAGACTATTTAACAAAACAATTTTTTGCTATTTTTTGTTTAACCTCAACGACAAGTGATATTAACATCTCTAATTTAAAAAGGAAAATTAAAAAATATACACTAAATATACATTTTAACATCTCTACATTATTCACTAATTTTTTTACTTTTGGGCTTAAATATTCTACTAAATATACACTTGTTGCTCGATAAATCGTAAATCCACTTCCAAATACGTTATAAAGATTTCCTTGATGCTCACGGAAAATATTTTTGGAAAATGAAAAATTTGCATTTCTTACAAAAGAAACGTTGATAAATATTCACGGTTTTCAATCGATTTTGCTCATTCGTAGATAAATCACCGTTCAATCAATTTATTTTTACTTTCGCCTCTTTGTGAAGTTTTGAAAATTAACCAATGCTTGTGGTTCAAGTGGTAAGGAGCTTGCTTCCTTTAAGCAAGGTCTCGAGTTCGAGTCTTGTGAATGGAGCAGCTATCATTGGAAGAGCTTGCCCTGTGAATGGGGTTCAACCTAGCTCGAGGGATTAGTCCTCGCCTACGTGCGGGGGATACCCTGGACTCATCCAAAAAAAAAAAGTTCTGCAAATTAAGGTGAGACTTTCCGTTAAGATTCTTGAGTGCAGAACCCCATTTGACAATGTTCTAGGCCTCACTACTAAGTTTTTAACTTATTTTTTTAGTTTTCAGCTCAAATTTTCCACTAAATATAGATTTGTTGCTCAATAAACTGTAAAACTACTTCCAAAATCCTTAAAAAGTTTAAATTAATGCTTGGGAAAAATATTTTGTGAAAATAAAAAATTTGCATTTTTGTGAAAAAATATGGGTGCTAGGTTGGCTCAACTCACTTAAAACACGAGCGTACTCAGCTCATGCAAAACGAGACAAAACCGTGGCACACAAAACAAAGCGGGCTCTGTTCACAGAAAACAGGGCATGCTTCTGGCATGCAAAATGAGGAGAGCTTTATGCGCACAAATTGAGGCCAGCCTTACACGCAAAAAACGAGGCTGGCTCCATGCACACCAAAATGACGCGGGCACCATGGAAGCAAAAAAGGACGGGATTCTGGCACGCAACACCTCACACGCAGAATGAGGCGAACACAAGCACACAAGACGATAAAGGTCCTGCGCACGCAGAACGAGGCGGACTCCTAGGTGCTCAGAAAACAAGTCGGGCTCCACGCATGAAAAAATGTATTTTGAAGAACATGTATATGATAGTTTGTTGTAGTGGTAAGAGAAATAACAAAAATGATTCAAATTCTTGGGGCTAACTTTCCTTGCCCATCCTTTTCGAATGATTCAGTGTAATTGATTGTCAAAATCTCTCTAGACCCAACCGCATGGCAAACCCCACCATGATAATGAGAATGGTTTTCCTCTCCTATGAGATATTTTTTTTCAACCACTGGAGCTAAAGACGTGCCTTCTTCCTTGTTCATAGAAACCCTTTTCTAAAGAGTAAAGAGAACAAAAGCAAAAGCAGCTTGACTTTTTGGCATCCTAGGAATTTGAATCATTTTTGCGCTTTTTTGTTAATTTTTCTTTTATTTCTCCTACAATTACAACAAACTATCATATTAATATTCTTCAACATATTTTTTTTCCGTGCAAAATCTATTATAATTCGTATTTAAACACTTATAATCAACGATTTAAAACATAAATCTAAAGATATTTGAATCTTTTTTTTTTAATAATAATTTTTCTTTTACCTAAATCTAAACTACTTATTAAAGGAACTCTTTTTGTCAACCCAAAGCCTGTTTAACAGTCACCATTGAACATGAGAGGCTCTCTTCTTGAAATTCCATCTACATCTACTGCATGGAAATTGAATGATGATAGGTCCTCTCTACCAACATCACCTATCACCTCCTTTACCAAGTAATGTTCTCTCTTTCAAATTTGATTCATATCTTCACCACCCTTTTATAATTCTAATCTGTTTATTGAAAATTCAAGCAATTTGGCATTTGGGCCAACATCAACTAGCTTCAAATCGAGACCGTTCGACTGATGATGCAGTTGGGGTGAAAAAAATAAAAAAGGATTTAGATATTTGAGGTTATTTTAGGAATAATTGGGATGGATTAATAAGATTTTAGTTTTTTTATTTTTTATGATGGGTAAGATTATAATGTGGGGTGTAGAAATAATTAAAGTATTGAAATGCACCTATCTTAAACGATGATATCATTGGGTCGATTATCTCCATTTTTTCAGCTTTCATCAGCGTTGCATGTAGTTAAATATTAAGTGTAGAAATAAAGTTATGGACTTAAAGTGTCAGTATTTTAGACGTAATTAAATTAGACATGCAATTTACCAAAAAAAAAAAAAAAAAAAAAAGTTTTTTGTTTTCCAGATACAGCCGACGACATGTCGTTAATATGATTCGTATTTTGGAAAGGGAAGCCTGTGGGCACGCGAACAAGTAGCAGGAAGACAAGAATAGAGAAGAAAGGAAGACTATAAATCCATTTCATTCCTTGTCCGTCTTCATTGTGTCTCTCCCGTCTTTGCTTTCCCATTCCATTTCCTTTCCTTTTGCTTTTCTGCGGCATTTCGTCGAGCAGGTTTTCTTCGATGTTTTTGTTCACGAATTGTTTACACTTACAACAGACATGTATGGTTCATCTTATTATCCGTTTTAAATGTGTGCTTTTCTTTTAATCACAGAAACCATGATCAGGTTGTTTAAAGTGAAAGAAAAGCAAAAGGAAACAGCTGAAAATGCAAAGGAGAATGGTCTCGTAAAGAAGCAAAGTGCAGGAGAATTGCGTCTTCATAGAGGTAAATACGATTTTAGGACGTAAATATGTTATGATTTGCTGCAATGTGGTAAAAAGTTATACTCTTGCATGCATGTTAAGTTCCTAAACACACGTTTAACTCCAACGTACGTAAAGGCAAGGTTTCAGTGTTTATTTTAATTCCTTCAACCATTCCTTCAATTGTATTATGACACATAACCGAGCGTAATGACGTTCTAGGATTCATATAGCCGGCCCCACTTAGTGGGAAAAGGCTTTGTTGTCGTCGTCATCGTCGTCGTCGTCGTCGTCGTCGTCCTTCAATTGTATTATGTTGTTGTCTTGTAGATATAAGTGAGTTGAACATGCCAGAAGAATGCAAGATTTCATTCCCCAATGGAAAGGATGATTTGATGGACTTTGAGATCACCATTACACCTTACCGGGGATATTATATGTAAGTAACATTTGATCTGAAGCTTAATTTGGCTCTCTATACGTTGTTTGGATTTTGCAACTTCGATGTTATCTTACTGAATCCGACATTTTGTACCTCTTTTCGTAGGGGTGGTGGGTTTGTCTTCTCATTTAAAGTTCCCGCAGTCTACCCTCACGAGCCTCCGAAGGTCAAGTGCAAAACCAAGGTAACGAAACCTAAGTTATATCGGAACTTAACTTTCGAGTCTATTGGTTACGAACTTACGATCCAAACCATAATATATATATATATATATATATATATATCTGGTTTTGTATAATGCATACCATCTGTGCAGATCTACCATCCCAACATCGACTTAGAAGGAAACACTTGCCTCAACATTCTTCGGGAAGACTGGAAACCTGTCTTGAATATAAACACAGTTATTTACGGATTGTATCACCTATTCACGGTATCTCTAATCATAACACAAAATATTTGGTGACCTCAAACAAATTATCCGTTTTGTTGTTACTAGGTTTTATTTGGATGTGTACTCAAATCCTACATTTCTTTAAGCAGGAACCTAACCATGAGGACCCCTTGAATCAAGAAGCAGCAGATCTTTTGAGGGACAATCCAAATTTGTTCGGATTGAACGTGAGAAAATCGATCGAGGGAAACATATGGGTGGGAGGCGCCCATTTCCCTGGGTGCAAAACGGGCGACTTCTACTGATTCGGTTTATCTAGGGTTTTGCTTCTCCGTGGTCCAACCATGGTTGTCTGACGTTGAAGGTTTGTGTGTTTCTGGGGTGTTTTCTGC